CATCACGTTAACACACCATGATGAAGTGGACAACAATTTCACACTTAGAAAAAAAAACTGGTAAGTATGAAGGGTTGAAAGACGTCTCAGGTGCCTGGAGCCTGCTTTTCGTTTCTTTGTTTTCACCCATGAACTAATTTGTATTTAAGAGCAAACGAGGAGGGAAATTAAGGCGACTGTTATTAGTCTTCTGTGTTTTTCTTCTCTGTCCATCATTTAACTCGTATTGATTGATTGTTATAATTAATAAAATACAAATTTAGCTTCCATTCTGAAGCTAAGTCGCTTTTCGAAATGTAAAGTTTGCAGAATTTCGTTCAAAAAGAAAGGAAAATGCATTTATAATAAATTATTCTATTTCCTTCTGTTCAGTTAGTTTCCCTTTTAAAAAAAGCCAATAACTCTGAATAAAACCCAGAAAAAAAGCAGTTTTAAAAGTATTCTAACGTGAGTATAAAACATATAAATTGTATAAGAGCTTCATAGACGGAGGGAAAATAATAATAATCAGGAATGAATAATCCGCCTCTTGTCTTTGATTTTGCGCCCTTGGCCCACAGATTTTCTGTTTGCGTCATGTCTGCTTTGAAAACATTTTATATTTTAATATTTCGATCAGAATTGAGATGAAATCAAATCTTAATCTTTAGCTGGATTGGCGCCTCTCCGCCAGGCCGCAGTCCCTGCAGCCCGGTGCTGGACAGCTGCTGGACATTTGGAGAAACACTGACTAACAAAGAGGCAATCCCGTGTTTTCCCGTCACGTTATGGCCTCAGCCATAAACTCCCAGCATCAAAAAGGACGCAGAACACCCTGCAGAGGCGCCGGAAATAGAAAATAAATCGATAAAAGAGAAGAGCGGTGATTATTGACTCCGCGTTTTGTGCAAAATCAGGACGAGGATGCATCAGAGCGAATATTTGTTTAAAGCTACATCAAAAATGTGAGGGGGGAAAAAAGCAGAAAGGCGAAAAGATACAACTAGGACACGGTGCGCAATATCAGCATAAATCGATTTCTTCAGAATAAAAGCACAAAAATGAATTATAATAATCCGAATAAATGAATCAGCAGAGTGAAAAACGTGTAGCCGGAGATCTTTTTGTTTTTTACCCCCAAGAAAAACATGACTCAGCTGTAGCACAGGCCCTTTACCATCACCATCATCATCATCATCATCATCAAAGTCAAGCTTGCCTGGCCTGAAGCCACCTGGTTATACAACACCAGTCGCCAGCAGGCCTCAGACTCGGCAAAATAGTTTTTTTTTTCACCATTTTAGGGAAAATATTTGGCGTGTGAAGGAATTGCAGCACCTCAGGGGTTAAACAGAGAGGGCAGCAACTGGTTGTGAATAGCACAAACAGCGCAAGCGGAATAATAAAATGCTTTGGAGAGGGTAATTTCCCTTTCTTAAAGACAGATCTCCCCGTTTCCAGCTTTGTAAACACCAGGCCTGCAGTGACAGTGAAGCAGCAGCAGCAGCACCAGCAGGAATATCAGAAACATGGTGCCCTTACCTTTGTTGATAATCCGTCATTTCCAGTGTGGGTGCCACTCCGCAGCAGCTCCTCTTCGCTTCCTGTCAGCCCCGCAAAGAAAAAAAAATCCCCACTTTGCTTAAGTGATTTCATGAAAGTAATCCCACTATTCCAGGAGTGTGGTGATCCCTCATTTTCACGAACATAAAGCCACACAAGTACAGCCACATTAACGAGGCGCGCACGGCGCAGGAATTGCGCAGAGCCTCCATCGCCTACTTTTTGCTTTTTTTTTTTAGGGAGAGGGGGGGAATTACGCACGAAACCGCGAGCGGCTGTTCTTACCAACACTCCAAACGCTCACTGCACATGCAAAGAGCCCAGAAAAAGCTTGTGTTAGTAAGTGTTAAGTGAACGAGCGGTTGGAAAACAGCAGCTGCAATATAACCTCATGGGAAATAAGTTCCCATTCCTGCTGTCCACATGACCCCTCAGCAACCAATCCCCGAGCCAGGCGAGTCGTAAACTTCCAAGGCAAAGTTGTAAATTTTCATAAACAGCGGCCGTTTTTGTGCTTTGGACGCGCTTTCCTCACCGCCATCTTTATTTTCTCCCAAAGAATGAAATGTTTAAATTTTGCGTCAATATGGTAGAAACGGGTCAAGATGTGGAGGTGTGAGGGTGGTCTGCGGGGAAGGATGCGCTCTCGGTTCTGATCCATCTGGTTGGAGAAAGGTTTGTAGCTTCTTATTGATCTCTAACCACGGCAGTGGTCTTATTCGCGTACCCAAAAATTCAAATCGAATAACAGGAAGTGAATCTGGCTCCAGTCCTTCCTCCTGCATTTTGTCAAATGTGTCACTTTCAGGAAAAAATAATCATGTAATCTCCAAACCGCAGACGCGGGTGATTGAGTCTTCTTATTTTTCTAAAATAAAAAGGCTCCAGGGGTGAAGATTATTTGCATTAAGACTATTATAATCTCTCCAAATGTGGAGAAATTCCTCCAGATCAAATTGGCCAAAGATGGGAATGAGCTTAACTGCCATCCTGAGGCGGATTTTAAGGTCAGAAAAACTTGAAACAGCCCAAACTCAGAATGAAACTTTCCCTCGTTTGGGCCTTAAAAACGTATTCATCTTTTTTTTCTTGTTGTTTCTAATGAGTCATTTCCGATTTGATTTGTTGTTATTTTTTTTAAAGTATTCTTTCAGTCGGTATTTTGGTGTTTTACACTGACAGAGAGGATTTCCGACATTTATAGACGCAATAAAACCATAAATTCCTGAAATACAAAACATTCTCCCCATCGCTTTCATTTTTCTCCCTCAAAGAGACGCAAAGTCCAATATAATAGCGCCTTTTCATTAAAATTTAAGCTAAGATTTAAACACAAAATGTTAAAACATATGAATTAACGTTTTCATTTCATTAAAGTCTAAAATAAAAAAAACAAACAAACAAAAAACCCCAACACTTCCACAGGTACCGTCTTATTTAGGCCATAGTTTAATCCTTTATTGGCTCCTAAATTTACCCCCCAGATTTTAATTTTTTTTTAAAGATAAATATAATTATAATTAAATTAATTCGTCTGTAAACCCCCGAGTTTCACAGGAGCTTGCAGAAAACAGCTCAGGCGCTTTATAATGCAAGTGGACTCGATACTAAATATTTATATTTATCAGTAATGAAAACACTTCCTCACATTTTAAAATAATATCGAATAATTTCTCAACGCATTTGATCTTTTTCTTTTTTTTAGTTTATTGGTACCTTGCTCTCAGCCAGCTACAAAGAAACCGGATCCAGAGAAGCTGTAAAACTTTATGGCCTCTTATCTGAAAGCCGTCGAGACGAAAGGAGGCAATCACCATCAAAAAGAAATTTAAAACTATTTAGAAAAAAATGTGTTAAAATGTAATCACAGAAAGAATATTTATTACTTTTAAAAAGTAGATTTTTTTTTTAATCTTATTTTTTGCAGAAAGTGACAATAAAGACGATTAAACTAAATCACTTGAAAAAAAAGACATTTTATTGATCATCAGCGCAAATAAAGTTATTTTCAATACTTGACTGCACAAACATGAGAGCAGCTGGCTTTTATCCTTAATGTCCCCCCAGTGTGAAGCTTTTCAAACTAAATTTAATATTAAATAATGAACCTTTAATAGTTTCAGTTTAGCTGAGCCAGTTTATGTTCATATAAATCAGTGAGTTTATTAGAATCACATTTTTTTCTTCCAGAGTAAAAGATTTCAATATCATGTTAACCCAGCATGCTTTTATTTTGGCACTCTGTTTGAAATAATTCATCCTCAGAGCAAAAATATTAAACATCTATCTCAGATTTATGCATCAGGTTAGATTTAATGGATAAATCTGAGTACACAGAGTCAGTATTTAAAAAAATACTGAGCTGGAGCTCATTCAGTGGCAGGCAGCTGGTTTGCAGGTATAAAAGCTATATACAAACATCCATGTTCATCAAAGGCATTGTGTATTTCTGAATTTTCTCTCTTCAAGGCTCTTTGTATTTCTCTGTGGAGCAGCTTCAGTGTGAGGTGAGAGCTGCAGGTCTGGACTCGGAGGGGCTTCGTGAGGTCGGCGGTCCCGCTGCCCTCACTGCCCTTTACCGTGCTGGGTCGCTCTGTGAGGGAAGCCAGGCCTCCGGAGCAGCGGGACGCACGTGGAGATGACGAGCAGGCTGCGCAGGGCGCCGGGGTCGTGGGACACGTCGTTGGTGCATCGAGGGCCTCCTTTGGAGATGCAGTTTATGGTCGGGATGCCGGGACGGGACCGGGCGTCGGTGTAGAAGCTGCTCAGAGAGTCGCTGACTGAAAACAGAAGAAAGAAG